AGGCGACAATCCGATCTCGAGTTTCAGGTTGGGGATTTTGTACTCCTGAAGGTGTCTCCTTGGAAAGGAGTGATTCGATTTAGAAAGAGGGGCAAGCTGGGGCCCCGGTATATTGGGCCGCTAAGGGTGATTGCGAGGGTAGGCAGAGTAGCATATCGATTGGAGCTACCTGCGGAGTTGAGCCCGATTCATGATACCTTCCACGTGTCTCAGTTGAGGAAGTGTATAGCCGACGATTCAGCGGTAGTGCCGCTGGAGGATATTCAGGTGGATGCGGGCCTGAATTATGCTGAGAAACCAATTCTGATTCAGGATCCAAAGATCAAGGTTCTGAGGAACAAGGAGGTACCGTTGGTGCAGGTTCAGTGGCAGCATCGGAAAGGGTCCGAGCTAACATGGGAGTCAGAGTGAGACATTGTCACACCCCCAAACCTGAACGGCGGAAACGTTCGGGGGCGGATGACTTCATGTGGTAGCCTAACAAGTGAATACATGGTAAAGAAAGCAATACAACCATCATATATATATATATATATATATATATATATATATATATATATATATATATATATATATATATACATATATATATAATTGAAAGTTTACATTTGTCAAACGTTACATGTTCAAAATCAATTACAAATATGATGTCAAAATATGAGATTAAACTGGCACCACAGCATCTCTTCATCAAAAGCATAATGATACCTGTAGTTACTGAATCCTTGGGACATACAAGTAATTTTTAAAGAGTAGATCATCATTTAAGCTGGTGAGTTTCATAAGTATTTAATGACAATGTTTGTATGAAACGAAATATCTTGTCCTTGTTTGTTTGTGTTTAGAAAATCCTGTATTTTCTACTAGTATAAAAGAAGTCTTCCTTCCAGACCAAAGTTTGTTTCCAAAATGTTTGTAAGTGTAAAAGTAACCAATATGTTTGAAAACCTCGTAAATCAATGCATTATTATTACCTCCTGTGAGCTTTATAACCATACTATTGACTCGGATTGCCTATACACAACGTTCTTCAGGCGTTGGAATGTTATGACGTTTGTCACCCCAAACGGTGGACTGTAGCTAACAGTCAGGGCGCGGGTTGTCAAGCCCGTATAGATCTATACACAAACACCATGCTCCCCCTCCAAGGGATTCTGGTATATAATACAGGACTTGAAATGTGTACTCGAACGTACGTGAAGTAAATGTCTCACAGAACCGTAGTATAAAAACAGATTTACGTGTTGAAATGTTCGTTTGTTATTGTACATGAAAGTGATTTCTTGAAAATCGTGTTTCTAGTATGTAAAAGTTAGCAATATCCTCATAAAACTATACCTATTATATTTCTAAAAGTGTGCCTCGTTTGTTTTTAGAATATCTAGAAAAGAATCACTTGTTATGAAAGCATAGATTTTTGTAGAGTCTAAGATAGACACAACATACTTTAAATCTAAGAAAATGTTTAGTTTATACATGCATTACAACATTTATAGTTTTTAAAGATAGAATGCTATTGTAATATATTTTGTATACGGGAGTTCCCTATAAAGTTTATAAATCACACATGATTCCTTAATAAAAGTGTATAATAATCTTTATATATAACACCCGATAGTAGTCGTGTGTTTTACTTGTATTCCCCCCCTAGAAAGCATATAAAAGCGTTTAGAATATTAAAAGGGTTAATTAAGGGGTATGAACTCACTTGAAAGTTTGAAGATAGCGAGATGGAAAACCGGGCAGAGTTTCGTCTCGGGAAACGGATTTCTCGGGAATCTCGGGAGTAAAATCGACCTTCGGGACTGCACAAATGACCAGGGCTTCGGGGTAGTGCGGCACGGAAAACGAGGTAAAACGCAAGAAAAGTGAGAGAGAATGAGCAAATTTTTCGGGAACCCTCATCCTATTATAGGAGGCTGGAACCGCCTCGTACGCGGGGCGTACGCGTACGTCACGCATGACCGAGTCCTCGACTGCCTCGGACTTCGGATGGGACGGCTAGCTTCGCATAGACCGGGACGTGGACGATCCGAGGCCTTGGCCTTGAGTACGCGGGGCGTACGAGGGTACGCGGCGCTACGTACTTCGGCCCTAGTGCTGACTCCTTCGGATAATACCAAGAATTTATAATTAAATAAATATATAATTTATTTAATAAACTTCAAAAATTCATATCTTCTTCATACGAACTCCGTTTTCGACGTTCTTTATATCCCCGCGAAGGTGAGACTACGCTCTACAACTTTCGTTTAGATTCCGTCGGCAAATTCCGAAATTATTTTTATTATTTATTTATTAAAATGACGTGATTAAGGAATTTCTTTAAAAATTCATAACTTCTTTATCTGACGTCGGTTTTTGCCAGACTTTTTACCGCTGAAATACCATTGTCGAGACCTTCGATTCTCGTTTAGGTCATTCCGGCCAAAAGTCGCTCGATCTCCGATTCGAGTTTTTAGTTGTCTGTTGCTAAGCCGAATTGGAAAAATCTTAATTCAATATACGAAGCGGGTTTGGGCATTCTTTTTACGTACGATCCCGGTTTAATGATATAAAACATAGTAGGTAGTTAAATAGAAACTTTTTGGACATTTTATTATCAACGTTAATTTTTATTAACTCAAAAATGGTTACAAT